TATACTGCAACTAAGAAAGAGCCTGCATGCTGCAACGTAAGATCCCATGTTCTGTAACCAAGACCTGGCGAAGCCAAATAAATAAATAAATATTTTTGTAAAGAATAAAGAAAAGGAGGAAAGATGCAATTCTGTCAGTTTAGAACTAGGGAAATAAAGAACTGTCTGAGATAGACCTTGGAAGCACACATTTATTTTCTATGAAATATGGTGAATTCCTAGATTTGAGATACACTTCTATATTCAAGGAGGAAAAAAGGATCCACATAATGCCAAAATCTTAATGTTTGTTGAATATCACACTTTTTACTTGAGAGAAACAAATCATTAAACACTTCTTTCTAAATTAGTGTAAACATTTGGGAGTTGATTATAGGGTAACTAAGTGTAACTTGCATTAAGGAGCATATCCTTTGTAAAAAAAAGTTGTTCTGAATGAACTCTTTTTCTCTACTAAATTTGTTTTTCCACTGATTTTCCTTATAAAACAACAGGTGTATTTACCTGAGGAAAACATCGATCCTAAATGATAATATAGTCACATTTGAGAATGCAGAAAATCTTTTTAAAAAGTCATTTTTAGAGATCTTTTGGATGATCTATGGGATAACTATGTAATAATAATCTAAAAATGCTTAAATTGTATCCTAGAACATATGCAAAGTAGTAGGGTAATTTTTTGTTTCATTTAGCTCAAATGGTTCCATTAAGAAGCAAAATGTGAGCAAGCTGAACAGAAAATCCTAGATCGAAAGCTTATTAGCTGTTCTCAAGCCCCCTCCCCAGGACATTTTACAGCAGGAGGGTATGTACTTATTTTGCTCAGACCTGTTTCTGGGCACCCAGAGGAAGCACTTGGACATGACTGGGTTGGTCTGGGACAGGAAAGGCAAGGTTAGAGTCACGTAGCTGAGGTGGTAACTCAGAGCACTGCCGCGATAGAGAGGAGATGCACGTTCACTGAATGTCTCTACAACGTGTATAGGACAGTGCCCTGCTTTCTACGTGATGGCAGGATTATAGATTATAAACTGGTTAGCAGGGACTTCCCTGGGGGGCCAGTGGCTTAGACTCTGTGCTCCCGATGCAGGGACCCAGGTTCCATCCTTGGTCAGGGAACTAGATCCCACATGCCACAACTAAAGAGTCCACATGCTGCGACTAAGACCTGGCACAGCCAAATAAATAAATAAATATTTTAAAAAATTGGCTAATAATTGCCTTGTTTGGCAATATGTGGCATGCAAACATTGCACAATGTTGCCTTTTGGCCCACAGAATTTCTGAATAATGCTTTGCTTCTTTCTGAGCAGTAATGAGCTGAGATAATGAAAAGTGAGGGCTTAGATTTTCCTCAAGGTCCTGATGCCTCTGAGACTCTGGAGCTGTGTGGTGAGGCTGCAGTTTCTCTCTGGGTTGCTGGTAAATTGCTCTGCAGACAGGCTCAGAGGGCCTTTAAAATCATAAAAGGGAAAGTGAAAGTCACTCAGTGTGTGTTCGACTCTTTGGACCCAATGGACTATACAGTCCATAGAATTCTCCAGGCCAAAATAGTGGAGTGGGTAGCCTTTCCCTCCTGCAGGTGATCTTTCCAACCCAGGGATCGAACCCCAAATAGTTAATATATTCCCTCCCGAGGCTTATATCACTCCCCACTCAGACCTTAAGTCCTCATAGGTTTTGCATCGCTTCCAGAAGTTCCTAAGGGCCTATCCTATCCATCAAGAATGTCTTGGCTTGTCCTTTTCAAGTTTTAGAAATAAAACACAATGACATTATGGAAGGAAATGTCTCACTTTCATCTTTGAGTCTATCTTTTGCTTTTGCAGAAAAGAGTGCATTGGTTATGGAGGTGGATTGGGAGCCGGGTGGTGGAGCTTTTGCCTTCACCCTGGACTGCAGGGCTCCAAGAATTTCAGCCCCCAAGCCACCCCTCTGAATATGCAGCAGGGCAGGAACACACCTTCCCACCTATTTTCTAGGGCAGCAAAACACTGGTACAATAAGCAGTGAATCTCTTCATGGATCTACTTGCAAGTGAAGCAGCATGTCAATCAGTTTTGCAATCTGCTATTTTTTAAAAAAAATCTGTTCTATTTTTAAAAAATATTTTTATTTATTTATTTGGCAGTGCCAGGTCTTAGCTATGGCATGTGGGATCTAGTTCCTTGACCAAGGATCAAACCCAGGCCCTATGCATTGGGAGCATGGAGTCTTAGCCACTGGACCACCAGGGAAGTCCCTGACATTCTTTATTGATATGATCTGGTGCCTACTCTGTCCTTTGCTCCAGAACTCTCAAATCTTCTTCTCCCATGGGTCTAAACTGAGTTTGGGGAGGAAACTGCTTTTCCTACAAGCTACTATGTTTTCCTACTAGCTACTTTCCTATAGCTACTGGTTATAATCCTGTGGGGGAGGATCTCTGTTTCAGAGGTAGGTTGCCTGGGTTTGAATCCTAATCCTGGGACTCACTTTCTAGCTTGATGACTGTGGTCAACTCCCTTAATCCTTCTGTGCCTCATTTTCCTTATCTGCAAAATGGGAATAATAATATATCCTGTCTCACAGGGTTGTTGAGGAATAAGTTCATTTAAGTAAAACTGCTTAGTATAGTGCCTGGCAAATTGTTATTGACTGTGAGTGGACTTTCCAGATGGTGCTAGTGGTAAAGAATCCGCCTGCCAATGCAAGAGACACAAAAGGTGTGGGTTTGATTTCTGGGTTGGGAAGAACCCCTGGAGGAGGAAATGGCAACTTGTTCCAGTATTCTTTCGCAGAAAATTCCACTGACAGAGGAGACTGGTGGGCTATAGTTCATGGGGTTGCAAAGAGTTGGACACGACTGAGCAACTGAACCACACGCTGACTCTGAGTTCCTCCCCAGACTTAACTCAGTCTTGGTATTCAATAAATAATTATTAAATGCATACATTTAAACAGTTTTCCTTTTTCCCTGATGATCTTCGTTGATCAATCCCCTCCCTAGTTTTCTATATTCTTCTCACCAAAGACTCTTCAGGGAAATCTCCAGCAAGTCTTTGTCCAAGTCTCAATAGGGCACAGTTACTGGCTTCTATCCATACAGGCAAAGAGGATAAATCACTTAACACACAGTGTACACAGTCTGACCATTATTAGGGACAAGAGTTATCTGCCTCTTTTCCTGGGGAGTTAGACCAATGCTCCATTTTCTAGTTTCTCCCCAGAGGCTTCTTTGTTTTTGACACCCTCCAGGGAGCAGCAAAAGTTGCTGTACTTGATGTTCAAATGATCTCTACAAGTAAAGGAGAGGCTGCAAAGTTGATGGATTCAGTGCTGCTCCTGCAGCCCTCAGAGCAAAAGATTTTTTTCCCCTTGCTTTATTTCTCATAAGTTTCCTGTTGAGACCCTCCTCCTCCTCCTTTCCTTAGGAAGATGGTAAAACTAGGACCCTCGGGCCCGGCACCAACATTAATGTACAGTTCCTGTTAGAGTCAGGTGAGTAGGGTCGAAGTGGTAAAAGAGGCTGGCTGCACACCATCATTTATCTGGGATTGAATGAGCTCAACCAATGAAAGGGCTTAACCAGTGCCAGAAGCTGAGGACCACTTCATCCTTATCCTCATTTGCTAGTAAAGAAGCCAATTAGTGTTAATTGTGTTGGCAATTTGGAACAGCCACCAGGGGATTGATTCAAGGCAATGGTGGAATGACCTCCCTGTTCTGTCCTAGTCCCAGCGATTACTCGCAGTCAGATGAGGAATCAGAGAGCTAATATCTTTTGGTCAGAGAGAATAAATAGGTGCTCTGCTTCTCACACATTCACAGTGCATTGGGTGTCAGTTTTTAGTATTGTACATGTAGTGACCTGACAACACAATTCTGCCATTGAGAGAGAAATAGATATAGAGGAATCAGGATTGGAAGGTGGAATACATTTCAACATTGGCCTGTTCATGGCCTTCCCTTCTCCCCACTTGCCACCCCAGTATGTGTGCAAGCTCGGTTGTGTCTGACTATTTGTGATCCTTTGGATATAGCCCGCCAAGCTCCTCTGTCTATAGGATTTCCCAGGCAAGAGTACTGAAATAGGTTGCCATTTCCTTCTCCAGAGGATCTCCCCTATCCAGGGATCGAACCCGAATCTCCCAAGTCTCCTGCATTGCAGGCAGATTCTTTACCCCTGAGCCATTGGGAAGCCTTTGCCTGCCCAGAACATCTTGTTATTGATAGCCAAGTAGCCTACCCCTCCCCAGCCTTACCTGAAGCTGTTAAAGCAAATCTACTTAATAGAGGGAGGAGAGAAAGGAGGGGGAAACCTGGGAGCTGGTGAGGGCTCTGGAGGGTGCAGAAAGGCAGATAACAGAGAAGAGAAAAGGGATATGAGATTTATTGTTGGAATTTGATTTGATCACCTTTAATGTCCTTGGAGAGTCGCTGGTAGGGGTGAAATGTTTATTTTATTATTTACTTATTTATTTTGCCCAACAGACTGATAGTCCTTAACCATGAAGTGACTCACTGGACAATGCGCACATTGCTTCACCAGGGTTATACAAGTGACAGAAATAGGATGCAGGCACTTTGACAATCATCTAGCTATAGGATTGTTCAGAGAAGGGGTGGGAGGAAGGAAAATGACGTCCCTGCTTGGCTCTCACCCACCCAATGACTGAAATGCGTGTTTGGGTTGGTTTCTCCGCCCTTGAACACGCAAATCCTAGTTTCCCTATTCTTCTACATTCGGTGACAATTAGATTGGTTGTACCAGGTTGTAAGAGGAAGGAATTTTACTGAAAAATTCCCCTGCCTCGCTACCGACTTGGTTACAGATGCTTCAGTAATGTAGTTGTTCCTGCCTTTGGGGCCTCAAGGGCTAAAGTGGGACAGTGCTAATATTTTTGATGATGAGGAAATACTTTGCTTTAAAGGAGGCTGGGTGACTGCCGAATTGGGACAGAGGTCACAGTAGGGGGTGACATTAGCAGTTCCTGGGGGGATCGAGGGCAGGTTTTGGGTCAGGCACAAGCACCCCCTGACTTGGGCAACGCTGCGATGGCTTGGAACTGGCTGGCACACTTGCGGTACCCACTGTCTCCTCCCCGGAGGGGGGCACCCAGGAGCCGGCGCCTGAGGAACCCGGCCCACGCGGGAAGGTCGAGCGAGCGGGTGAGGTCATGGTTGCCATGGCTCCGGGCAGTGACGCGCGTCGGCACGTGACGACAGGTTGCCATGGCTCCCGGCCCCGGCGGCGCGGGCGCTCCGCCTCCTGGAGTGACGTCCGTGCCCCCCCACCTCTTTTCCCGCCCCCCCGCCCCCTCTCCCCGCCCCCCCACCCCCCCGCCGGCTCCCCGCGGCCCCGGAGGTTTCACTGCACAACAAGATGGCGGCGGCGGCGGCGAGCGGAGCTGGCGGGGCTGCCGGGGCCGGAGCGGGGGGAGCCGGGCCGGCCGGCCGCCTGCTGCCTCCGCCCGCCCCGGGACCCCCGGCCGCCCCCGCTGCTGTGCCCCCGGCGGCTGGCCCGCCGCGTCCCCCAGCCCCGGCCTCCCGCGGGCCGGTGCCTGCTCGCATCGGCTACTACGAGATCGACCGCACCATCGGCAAGGGCAACTTCGCGGTGGTCAAGCGGGCCACGCACCTCGTCACTAAGGCCAAGGTAGTGGCGCGGCGGGACCGGGCGGCGGCGGGGCTGCGCGGCTCGGGACCGTCCGAGTGTGGCGGGGGAAGGGGAGCCCCGCGACACCGAGGTGGAGGGGTCGGCGCCGCGAGCGGGGCTCCGGAGTGCGTTGGGGACCGGGGAAGCGGGTAGGGGGTTATCGGGCAGAAGTGAGGAGAGGGAGAGCAGGAGGCGGCGGGCACCGGGGGACCCGGGAGAGGGTGACTGCACAGCAGAGGGGGCGCTGAGCGGCCACTGAGCGCCGGGACCTGGGGAACTAGAGAGCCGCGGATGGGCAGGGGGCTCCCCGGGCTGTGCGGAGGGTCGTAGCAGGGTTGATGAGGAAGAAGACGTTTGGAACTCGCCAGGAGACAGTAAGCTGAGAAGCTTCTGAAACCAGAAATTAAGAAATCCTGCGGGAATGAGGGCAGGGGAATAGGAAATGTGGACAAGGAGGATGGGGGGAAACAAGGGTGAAACTGACAGAGGTGGGCTTTTGAGGGGAAGAAGGATGGCTGGGGTCTTGAGGCGGGTACAAGGTACTGGGAGGTATGAGGGACCTGGTACCTTATGACAGAGGCATCAGTCAGCATTTGGTCGCCCAAGACGGCTAGATGGTGGGAATGAGAGACTGAGGACAGACAAGATTATTGGAGGAGGTGATGAAAAAAAGGGGGAAATGAGGAGGAAAAAAATTAGTTTGTTTTTCCACAGGAAAAGGGTCAGGGAACAGAGACCCAGCGGTACCCCTGCGTTGTGGTGGCCCTAGGTAATCAGGGGTTAAACAATTTGGGAGAGCTGGATTGCTGGTTATATTTAGTTGTTGGAGGGTCCAGAACTGTACAGTTTATAGAACCCAGGGTGGGCTGTCAGTGGTGAGGGGGCGCCTGGTGACTGGGGAAGTGTGTGAAGAATCCGGACACTCATTGGGCCCTTTGGTTCCCAAGGGATTTGTGGAGCAGTGGTGGTGAAATTGGCAAGGTCAATTAGGAAGCCATATCCCTACACGTTTAAAATTTTACCTACAAAATTCATTTTGGAGGAAATACGGTTAGTTCTTTCCTGTGGCCTTCTTCATTGGGAGTCTTGGCATCGAAGACACCAGGAGGAGCTGCTTGGTTTTGATAGGACTCCCAGAACCCGTTTATACTTCAGATTTCTTTCTTTGCTCCATCTCTCACTTGAATGAACACTTTGGGTGAAGTCATTCATTATATTTAAAACTGCAGTTTGTGTTTCCCTCAGCTCGATGAAGAACCTTTACAGCTGCTGCTGCTTCCTACCAAAGCCACATCAAGTCCCCTCACCTCCCTCAGCCTCCTCTTTGGGTCTTGCCTCCTGCCTTGTTTTCGCTTGTATGGCAGTCACTTGTTTTCAGAAGGCAGTGACTTATCTCTGCCTTCTCTCCCTCTCACTTATGACCTGAAGTTCCTTTTTCCCTCCTTTCTGTCAGACTCTAAAGGGCCCTTCTTACCAGGGTTGTGGGGTGGGTGGCTGTGGAAAATTGATTGGTCAGTTTCACTTCCTCTGAGGGGGCCCCTTCAGCCTTTTTTTTTTTTTTTTTTCAGTTTTTATCAGAGGGCCTCAAGTCTACAGGTCTGAGCTGAATGAGATACCAGAGCCCAAGGTTTCCTGATGCTACCCTCAGACCCTGACAGGGAGTAAACTGAACCAAGACTCTGGTGCATCCCTGCCCCTCTGAGTGTTTCCTATTGTGTTTACAGTTAGCCAAGACAAATTTATGTTTACAAACAACTCTAATTGTTCCAGCCTTGTTCCTTGTTTTGGTATTTCCTTTTCCACACCCTCCCCTTCCCACCTAAGTAATCACTTGGGCTTCTGTGATTATTTTGCTCTGACCTCTGGGGGATGGACTCTGTGAACTTAATTGGCTGCCTGGTTTATGGTATCTATGATTTAAAGAATTCTGTATCGCCCAGCCCTTGGATACACCAAAATAATGATTAAAAAAATCTGGGACAGAGGGTTCAATGTTTTTGTAAATGTAATTGCAAACAGTTGATTCTTGGCTTTATACATAATAGAGACATTTCTATCTTCAGTAGTCAGCAAAGCCAGTGGCTAATTATGGCTGGTCTGCCCGCTTTCTAATTTTCCAGTGTGTGTGTGTGTGTGTCTAAGTTTTTCTCTAAGTTGTTGGTATCCTTTAGGACTGCAGCATTTTAAACATCAGCTTGTTTATAAACGGGTGTCACTGTTTATGTTGGTTTTTATCTTTGATCATTTGTGGTCGGCAGTTATGCAGTTCCTATGTATGGAAATATTCAAAGTCTTGAATGAGGCTGAAATGGCTTGGACAATGAGTTGCATGTGTGAGGGGACCACACCAGCACTCATTTGTGTTTCTGTAGCAGTGTGCAATTTCCTAGTTACAGGCACCCTCTCTTTCGCTGCTTAAATTACTCTGACGACATGCGTGAAGCTTAATTCACAGGGAGTTGTCATGTGCTCTGGGTAAATGATGAACATATTTTGGCCTGCTTCTTGCTTATCTGAATCCACTTTGGAAAGGTTTCTCAAATGCTTGCCGCCAAGATGTGTCTAACAACTGTTGACATACAGTATGATGGTCTATTAAGGCCAGGGTTTGGTTATATAATGGTGAGGAAGGTGCCTGGGTATTGGCAGTTACAGAAGCTGCTGTTCAGTTACTCAGGTAGATAGATTTTTTTCCTGGGCACTGCAGGGTTTATCTTACTTCTGCAGTCAGGTAACTTGGAACCAAAGAGAGTCACCTATTTTCACCTATTTTTTTTTCCTCTTCTGTTTTCAGAATGTATCTTTTTGTTTGTCTGTTTGTTTTGTCTTTTAGAGGTATGTGATTTTTTTTCTCTCTTTCTGCTCCCTGTCAGCCACTGAATGGTCTGGGTTTTTCCTATAACCATATGTAACCATTAGACTCAGGTAATTCAGATATTTGTGTTGGTTGAAAGAGGTTGTGTAGTAGGTGTTTTCTGAACATCAGAGAAATATTTATGGTCACTTTCTCTTACACATACTACCTATTGCACAGACTAAGAGGCTAAAGTAAACTTTATTTATTGATCAAGCACCGTGCTCCGCCCAACTAGAAGTGGTAAACCTGGCCCTTTCCCAAATTCTGGTAACTCTCCAGCCTCCTAGATCAGGCCCCTGGGATGAATAAACCAAGTAGAGAATGGGAACTCTTTTCCTGTTCAGTTGTTGGTGACTTTTGCAGCACGGCATTCGTGAGCTCAGACTTAATATTGGCAGCACTGCAGTGCTTACAGCGCCACTGCAGAGCAGTTACCAGGAGAGAATGTGCGTCTGTGACATACTTTGGTCAGCAGCTCACCCTGGCTGTCTTTGTCCCACCTTCTTTGAGTTCCCTTTTGTGGAGGAGCCTCGGTTTGAGATTCTCGGGTCCTCTTGTTTTTGTAGGACACTATGAAATATTTAGAAGATTAAAAAAAAAGATTTTCTACTGTCAGTTGTTTATAGTTGGTTGCCTGTGCCTAATTATACCTTCACTGGCTGGAAGAGTGGGAACAAAGAGTAGGTATATTTTGTATGCATTAAAAAGAAAGTATCCATGACTATAAAAGCCATTGGTCAAATACTTTAAAAATGTATTTTAATAAATATACATCACTTGCGTGTTTATTGGTTTGTGGGAAGAGCTTGAGCTTTGGATGGGACTGCCTGGGTTTGGGTCTTCTGCTACTTAATAGCTGGGTAATTTAACCTGTCTGTGCTTGGATTTCTTCATGTATAAAATGAGATGACAATAGTATCAATACTTTGCTCACCAGTTAGGGTGTTATGAAGATTAAATAAGATAATGTATGTGAAACTTTGCGAACAAACGTGCCTGGCACCTAGTAGGCACATGGTAAGTGTTATCACCGTCTTCTTCATCATCGTCATCAGATACTGTTGGAACAAAGATGAGTAAGACATAGTTCCCCTTGTTCACTATTCACCCCTTTGGAACAGTTCATGGTTGCACATGCCATTTGTTTTATGTAGGTAGATGTTACCCTGATGATGTGATTTCAGGGTAAAAAAAATAGTTTGCTATTATTTCAGGTGCCTCTTTGAGAGAGTAGATTTAATTCCTGTGGACTTTGGGGTAATTTCATGAAATTGACATTTAAAAACATAATTTCCCATTAAATTTTTCAAACACTTATGAGACTTGTCTCATGAAAACTGTAACTAATACTGGCTTTTATTTGGTTTGCCTTGAATACTCAGGGTGTTTGTATAGCTACACTTTGTCACATTGGTGACAGAGCAGAGTTTGCAGTGTTTTCTCCAGAGAACTCCTTAAATTTCATGGAGAGTATGAAGAAATATTCCGACAAGCCTGAGGATACATTTGCACTTGGGTGCAGGGTGTGCTACTTAGAAGGCCAAGGTCAGGATTCTTAACTTTAGATGTTACGCAGAGAAAACATTTCGCCCTGTGACCCAATTCCAAATACTGATCAGCCAGGATACATTTGTGTGCTGTGTGGTTTAGCGCACTCATTTCCATGAGAAGAACAACTCAAAGTGGGCTAATAGTATTGTTTTTACTCTAAGGATGATGCTTGTGCTCCTTAGAAGGCTGAAAACAAGATTCATTAGTAAATAGAAAAGAGAATTATGTCAAAAAGAAATTGAAATTAAAGATGAATACTAGTTACGTTGGAGGAGAATAGTTCCATCTCTGGATAATCTAGAAATGACTGTTGAAAGATGACTAACTTCATTTTGATAGAGATTTGTTGAAACTTTTGTGAAGAGCTAAGAATGATTTGGACTAGTTTCTCCAGAGTCAGAATACCAGCATTCCACTTTCAGCATCAAAGCTGTTTAACATTTTGACTATGGTGCCAGCTCCCTAGAAAGTCAGAGATCTGGCTCAAGCCAGAGGTGCCCAGACTAGTTATTTCTGTGCCAGAAGTGCTGTTTTCATTTTCCAGGCATCAGTCTGGCTAATGTTTTCTAGTTCGTGGCATAAAAGAGAACAA